AAAAAATTAAAATATAAACAAATGAAAAGATATCCCAAGTTCATGTGTTGGAAGACAATATTGTTAAAATGTCTATATTACCTAAAATAATGTAGAGATTCAATGCAATCCCTATCAAAATAACCCAATTACATCTTTCACAGAAAGAGAGGAAATAGTTATATGGAATCACAAAAAACGCAAAATAGCCAAAACAATTTCAAGAAGAAAGAGCAAAGCTGGAGGCATCACACTTCCTGATTTTCAAAATATATTAAAAGGCCATTTGGTATATATTAATTTAATAATTAAATGAAATTTTAATATAGTAATTTAAACAGTATAGTACTGGCATAAAGAAGGGCAAATAGACCAATGGAACAGAATAGAGAGCCCAAAGTAAACCCATATATATATAATCAACCAATCTTAAAGAAGGGCACCAAGAATAAACAATGGGGAAAGCATCATTTTCTCAATAATTGGTGCTGGAAAATATGCACATCCACGTGCAAAAGAATGGAAGTGAATCCTTGCTCAAAATGGTTTAAGTGCTTAAATATAAGTCCTGAAACTGTAAAACTATTAGAAGAAAATAGAGGGGAAAAAACTTTATGATGTTAGTATTGGCAATGACTTCATGGATGTAACTCTAAAAGCATAGGCAACAAAATGAAAAACAGCCAAGTGGAAATACTTGAAACTAAAAAGCTTTTGTCCAGTAAAGGAAACAATCAATGGCATAAAATGGCTACCGACAGAATAGGAGAAAATATTTGTAAACCATGGTATCAGATAAGGGGTTAATTTGAAAATATGTAAGGAACTCATACAGCTCAATGCATAGAAAAAGCAACAATTAATAACTACCTTTTAAAAATATGCTCTGGGGTTGAATAGATATTAGTCCAAGGAACACATACAAATGGCCCACAGATAGGTGGTAAGATGCTCAACATCACTAATTATCAGAAAAATGCACATCAAAATCACAATGAACTATCACTTCACATGTGTTAGGATGGCTATTGTAACGATCTAATGGCATTCCAACCAGTAGTTTCCATCTACCATTTATCATTCTAGTTGACTCCTCCCTTCTTTATTTATAAAACAAACAATTGCCTTCTTACAGATTACAAGGTGGAAAGTTCATATAAGTAAAAAGGTATAATGAGGAAATTTTTTTTTAAATTAGAATATTTTAGAAAGAATAGTTTCTGCTGGGATACTAACTTGCTAGAAAACCAGAACATATCTGAATATTGAGATACTGACTGAAAATAAAATAATAAAATAAAGCAATTAATAATACTTCTAAGAAAAACTGACTTATTCTTAGAATGTGAGCAGAAAGTTAAGAAGGTAGATTTTGGGAAATACGTTTAAAATCAAATTTTATAGTAATTTCTACAGCAAAACTACAACCATGAATACCTTAAAAACACATACATTCTACCAAACGTAATGTTTTCTAAACCTTTATATATATGTATAACATATATGTATAATTTATATGTGTAACATATATATAATTTATATATATATAACATATATGTATAGTTTATATATATATACACACAACACATACACACACACACACACACACACACACACACACACACATATATATATATATATATATATATATATAATTTAAAAAATAGTGGGAAAACGAAATCATTTAAAAGTAACCTTTTGGATTTTCGCTCATGCCTGTAACCCTGGCACTTTGGGAGGTCAGGGCAGGAAGATTGCCTGAGCCTAGGAGTTGGAGCCCAGCTTGGGCAACATAGTAAGACTCTATTTCTAAAAAATAAAATAAACATTAGCCACACATGGTGGTATGTGCCTGTAGTTCCAGCTGCTCAGGAGGCTGAGGTAGGAGGATCCTCAAACCCAAATGTTGGAGGCTTTGATGAGCTATGATTGTGCCACTGTACACCTGTACTCCAGCCTGGGTGAGAGAGAGAGAGACCGTGTCTCTCCTAAACAAACAAACAAAAACAAAAGTGATTTCTTTATAGAAAAACACAGCCAGGGTATTCAAAATATTTAATATTTGAAAGTGTATAATTTCTTGACCATCCAATATTTTTCCTGATTCCTTAGGCTCAGATAGAGGCAGCAGCAATCAAGAATTATAAATATGCTAATGTGTGTCTAGTTTTGAACCTGTCTAAAAAGCACTGAGGTGGTCTGAATTCTGATTCTCATTGGAACCTTTTGTTTCAAGCAGATATTTTTTAATGTTGCCCAGCTAAACTTTAACTTATATATCATATAAAATTATGTAAATTTTTTATTCAGGCCAACCCCCATTGTTTAAAGCAGAAAATGTTAGTTTAGTGTGGGATCAACATAACTATTCCCACTTTACAAGACGGTAACAGACACTTCAGAAACAAATTCAAGCAGCTAATTAATTCTTGAGGAATAGTAGAGTTCACATCTTTTTTATTTCCATTATTAAGAAATTTTCATTTTTGTTTAAGACATTTCTAAAGCAACAGTATTCTTGATTATAAATATATCTGCTTAAACTACATTTTCTTTTGACTTATGACTTTTAACTTGTAGCAATGGGAGGTTTAAAATGCTTCTGTCTGTAGTTAGATGACTTTGTTACTCTTCTTTTGCTTCAGAGTCTCCGCAAATCTAAAATTTGATGTGACTTAGTATGAGAACATTATATAATTTGTTAGGGTGTCATTTTAAGAGAGTTTAACTTAAATATTATATAAATTGGTAGGGTATCATTTTTAGGGAGTTTAAATCTAAATTATATATAAAAGTAAACAAAATATGATTCTAAAAACAAAAGTAAAGCTTGATATCCACAAAATAATTTTAGGAATATAAATATTGCTTTCATTTATGTCTTTTTTTTGAGATGGAGTCTTGCTGTGTCACCCAGGCTAGAGTGCAGTGGTGCAATCTAGGCTCACTGAAACCCCCACCTCCCAGGTTCAAGCAGTTCTCTGCCTCAGCCTCCCAAGTAACTGTGATTATAGGCACCTGCCACCATGCCCTAAAAAATACAATAATTTTTGTAGTTTTAGTAGAGACGAGATTTCATCATGTTGGCCAGGCTGGCCTCGAACTCCTGACCTTGTGATCATCCTGCTGTGCTTCTCAAAGTGCTGGCGTGAACCACTGCACCCGGCCCCCAGGAATATAAATGTTAAGATCAGACTTTTTTATATGCAAGAACTTTGTAGTTGTGAGTTCCTTTTTCGCTTCTCTTTGTCTCTTTAACATGTTAGCTCTTCATGAATCATTTCTACCAGACTGGGGTAGTGAGGGAGATAGAGGTTAAAAAAAAAGTAGATGCACTTTTCTGTCAGTTATCTCCTTATTTTAAAGAATGGATTTTTTTTTTTTTTTTTGTCGTTGTTGTTGCTGTTTTAAGAGCACTAACTACTGAGTCAGAAGACATGGCCGTGAGTTTAAAACTTATAATAATGCCAGCCTTGTAACTTGGGTGTTTGAGTCTTTCCCACTGATTTTTGTCTTTTGAATATGGTGAGAGGAAGGAGAGAAGTAAGTGTTGATGAATTAGAGAATTTGAAATGGAAACAAATCCAATCCCTATTACTTGGGGAAAGTTTACAGTCAAAACAGAAAGTTTAGAGACAGCTAAACCAACCCTTCAGGTGAGGTGTCTGGTAAACGACAGATTCATTAAGTGGAAAAAAACAGAGCAAGAATTGGATTTTAAGAAGGATCAGAAAAGTTTATCCTAAGAGAGGGCAGAGAGGGAAAAAGCAGTCCAGGACAGCCAGCTTGGAGGGACTATGGCTTTTATGATCAGACTTTGGCTGTTTTTTTTGCATGTATTTTATACTGTATTTTCTTAAAGAACGAAGTATGTCAGTAGTGTGCTGGAGTTGGCTCAAACTGGCTCATGCAATTTTTAGAAATCTTGCAAGCTGATTATTTAAAATAAGTTATATAAACTTAAACTGAATTATATTAAAAACAAAGGCAATAAATACTCAAAGCTCATCACTGCCAATTATTCTAATACATCTTGTTATTACCTATGTTCTTGAGATTATTTACATCTATTGTATCTGTATGTTGGTAATTCTATATAAAATTGTATTGTTGTACATCACAAGTCCTAATTTGTAGCATTTTCTGACTTGCATGGTATAAATACTCCCACCGTGGCTGATTTGAAACTACCAATGTGACATCACTGAATGCAGACTTGGGAAGAGGTGCACAGGAAATTGTATATTTGAAAATGATTATGTAATTCAATAAAGAAATCATATCATTGTTTAGCATATGCCTTAGTTATTTAATTTTTATCTTACTCATTAGTATATATAAATGTTAACCAACATTTATATTGTCAGTTTAACTACAGGTTGGACATGGTTGTAAGATTTTTGTAAAGATCAACCAAAGCATTCTGTGAGAATCAGGTAGCTATAGGGAATTTACAATACAGAATATCTATGTTAATATTATTTGTAAATTATTTGCTACACATCCTTTATATCAGTAAAGGTTGTATAAGCTTATATATATATACACACACTTATATACATACACATTTTCCCACAATGAGAGTTGCAGTTGTTAAACATTTGTCAACAGACCATTAGGATGTTAATCTCAGTTCAACTGCCTGTCAAAGCAGAAGAAAACATCTTCCCTGTCTATCTAGAAAGAGGATGAGATTAGGCAATATATATGAAAGTTTGTTATACACTGCCAAGTACTATACAAATAACAAGTAAGGTAATGATTAGGGAAAGCACCTTTCCTCTTCTGGTCCAGGCTTTCTTCAAGGTTTTAAAATGACAATATCTTGACTTTCTAAAACAAAAAAGTTTCACTGGAGAAGAAAGTTGCTTATAGTAAAATTGTATCAATTTTCTCTATCTCTGATATTTTTCTTGCTTATTTTAATGGTCTTTTATCCTAAACTATAAAATAGGTCATTCAGAATGGTTATTTCTATTTGCATCTGAATTGAAACCATTGTGTTTTTTCAATTTACACAGCTGAGAACAGGAAGCTTTGAGTACAATTAGAAAAGAAAGAAAGAAACAACGACAACCCTATAATATCATGGGGAAATGAGGTAAGCAGAATAATTACTAAAATTGAAATTTGGCTAAAATGACAAGTTCAAAAACCCAACTATTTCCATATGTGCTCTTGGATCTTAAATAATTAAAAATGGCCATGACTCATTTCATCAATGTAGGAATTGAGTCAGAGAAACCAATATCATTTGTTCATGGATGCTTATGATTATTACCACTTAATGACTTGGCAGACTGCAGGAAAATTGGATCAAGTCAACTCTGCTTAATTTTCATCATTTGCTCAAATTAAAGTACAAAATGATGTTTCATCCTATTCATAGAGCTGAATGTCACTCCAATAAACATAAGAGAAGGACTCTAATTACAACTGGAACACTTTTTTCCTCATTATGTTATAACTTTGATTTATAAAATGCAGACTTGTGTTATTCAATCTAAGAAGTTCATTAGAATCATTAATTTAAAAAACACTAAATGCTAGTACCTACCTGCTGGAATCTTCATTTGGTTATTTTGAATTTGGACTTGGTATTAGTATTTTCTTTTTAAGTTTTAATGTCTGGCTGGGTGTATGATATTTTCCTATAGTAAGTACTTCTCCAGAGATCAGGCTTATTAAAGGCTAGTCGGAGTTATTTATACCTGTAATGTGAATATCTTGTCAAAGATTCAGATTACAATAATTTCTTCTTCATACTTTTGTAAAAAATGCTACAATTCTCATATAAAAGTTAAACTTACCTAATAGAAAATGAATTAATACTGTTATAAATTAATATTTTTCACATAAAGAAGGTCAGTTATCATCTTTCTTTCCCCCAAAATGTTAAAAAAATTGTCAGTCATCACTTAGTGTAGTAAATATCACCTTTATCCTTAGTCTAGGCTGGTAATCTTTCTAATCACTCTGTATTCTACTTTGAACCTAAAATTCCAGATGAAACTCTAAGTTCAATATGGAACTTAAGTCTTCATATTGGAATCAGAATTCCCTCAGTGTTTTCAGGGCTGTTAGCAACTTTCCTCTGCTGTAGAGATCGATGGTCCATTTAGTCACCTAAAACTCTTAGAAGTATTTGAAGGCATAGCCTAAGGTATCTTTGGCGCACTATTATTAGGAAGTCTTTGATATCCTTTGAGTTTCTTTACGAAAGAGCAAGGAAACAAGTCTATTACAAACATCTAAATCACCCCCACATTCCAGTTTGAAATACACAATTGCTTTCACTGAAATTTATTCATTCAGTCCACAGCATATTATAGAGCTCCTGCTCTATGAAATACATGCATATCTGAAGGTTCTGTCACTAGTACTTCTGTACTATTCTCATATACATGTGTTAATAATTGTATGTATTTAAAATTATTTACAAATTATCACAATACTGAATCCTCATAGTAGTTCTGTAAGCTTACTAAGGGTCAGAGATTATATTATTTGCCTTAAGTAATATTTCATATAATATATAGTGGTTGTGTCAGTGGACAACCTAGAAGAGGATCTTAGTGTCCTTTTCATTATTCTTCACTGGCGTTCTCAAAACCACTTCAATAAACATGCTCTCCAATGAAAACCAGGGAGCTTCATAGGCAAACCACTTTAAGTTAATTTCTCTAGACATCCCTTTCACAAGATTGTCATTCTGATGCTCTCTCTATATAGAAATCCTGGAGCCTCCCCTGGTAGCACTGTATTATGTTCTACTGAATTACATGACATCATCTCTGAGTAATTTCTGGTTCATTTTTATTGTAATGAATCAAAAGTTGTAAAACCACCTTCCTAAGATTACAGAATTAAGTTATATGCAGTTGATAAGAGATAGATAATGTTGAAATAGTTGAAAGAAATTTAAATCTCAGGCCTACCTGTTTCCAAAGCCAGTGCTCTAGCTGCAAAATTTCATGAGACTAGACACTACATCATAATTAGTGATTAAAACAAAGAATATTAAATATCATTTTATCAGAGTAATATTTGTTCCAAAATGAATGGACACACGCTAGACTTTTACACTCAAATATTACAGAATTTTTTGTTGTTTCACAGAATGACAAATGTATTTGAGTCCTGGTTTTACCACTTAGCATTGTATGATTCATGAGAGAAAGAAGCTGGTTCAAGTTTTATCTTTATCCAAAAGGTAAACTTCAAAAAACTATGAGCTTTTTTTTTCTGGGAAATGTTTCTCTTTTAATTCCTATGACTGCTTAAAATTGTTGAGTCTTATAAACTGCTAATAATTGTTACTAAGTGGTATTAATTTGCTTTTTGTGTTGATACTTTTCTAGTTTTACAGATAGTGCCACTGAGCTAAATAAAGATTTCTAAATCACAGCTTAAGGTGTAGAAAAGGTGACTCTTGAGTAGAGATTATTTGTGAAGGTAGAGAGAGTCTGTGTTTGCCCAATGGCAAGGCAATGTTTTCCAGTGATTCTGCTGGGGTCTATTAAACTATAAAGCAAATCAGATGGTATAGTTTTGCTTTTCTTTGCTGACAGTTTCATCTCACAGAGTACAGGAAGCAAGAGGGAACAGTTTTTTAGAATATAATTCTTATCAGTATGGGATAAATGATTAGTGAAAGTAAAAGATGTTGGACACCTAAGGAGAAAAACAACTATGCATTCCTAGAGCATGTGATATCCAGAAGAAAAATGCTAAACATAGTAGGCTAGATACATTTAAACTTTTAGAAGGCAAATTTGGAGGGAGAAACAGAAAAAAAAAATCCCACATATGAGTGTAAAGAATGCAATTTTGGCTGTATAATCATAAGTGATCCAGTTAAGGGATAAAGGAAATTTTTATCTTTAAAATTAGTGCAGGTCAGGTCAGGCCTAAGGGAGACCTATACAACAAATTATTCATTGCAAAAGATGGGAAGGTTGATATTAGGAAGTCTAAATGAATATAATAATCTGTGGCTTGCAAAAATACTGAAGTAACATTGTAGGTCTTTGGAAATTTATGTTTAGATCCAAAGGTCAAAAAAAGGAATAGGCCCACTGTTTATCGCTAATGCTATCAAGTTAAGGGATGGCACAGAAGAAGCTGATACCCTCAGCTCCTAATTTGTTTCTGTATCCCTTCTAAATGAATCTTAAAGCACTAAGAAAATATTTGTAAATATTAAGAAAGACAAATTTAAAATAAAAATGAGAGATCCTTGCTACTGTAGAAGTGCACATTTCTGTCTGAAAAGTATTATATGCAAAGTTATTGTGAAAAATCACTGTATGAATATGGTTGTTGCTGATATCCTTGAAACAAATGGGAACATTAAAACTGTGCAAATATTTTCAGTTTTTTAAATGGGAAGCAGGCCAGGCACCATGGCTCACACCTGTAATCTCAACACTTAGGAGGCTGAGGCAGGGGATCTTTTGAGCTCAGGAGTTGGGGACTATGATGAGCTATGATCACACCACCGTACTCCAGCCTAGATGGCAGACTGAGACCCTGTCTCTAATAAAAAAAAATAAATAAATAAAAATAAAATAGGAAGCAGTGAATTCAACAAATTAGACAAGTGATATTTACATCAATTCCTGGAAAGTTTCTAAGATTCATGAAAGTTTCTAAGATCCATCTTTCTAAGATGAAAAGACAGAGTTTGAGAGCCAAGGAAAAAAAAAGCTGTAAGACCCGGACACGGTATGAATTATCTACAACTAAGTGTTTGTAGATCAATTCCTTTCTTCCTCAGTGTTGCTGTACATACTACTATGTAGACCTTCTGTGGTCTGTAAGTACATTGTACACTTTTGTTCTCACTGAAGTACAGCTAATTGTTTGAAAATCTTCTTCACATATGTGCCTGTGAGGAACTTGAAAGCAGGAGCCTTATATCTTGATATCCACAGTGCGTCTATGAAAAATACTTAATAAACTAACGGCAGATGAAAGGAATGCATTTGAAAATTTTATATTAGTGTTCTATTAAAGTGTCTTCTAATTTCCTAATAATATCCTTGTGAACAAAAGGGAGGAAAAACATATTGACTGCAAGAGCAACTAAGGAAATTAATAACTATTGAAACCCAGAATATTAACAGTGTTTTTAAATAAATCAAAATGAATGAGAGGATTTGTTTCTAGTAGTGTATGGCAGGCTTCTGTCTTTGGCCCGGTCTTGATCCACAGTGAACAATTTGGATAGAAACATGAAGGATAACTCATTAAGTTCATGGTGACATAAACTTTGGAATGACAATATAGACGCTAGATCTTAGGATCAGCATCTGAAAGCATTTTTTACAGCATTAGAAAAGATTATTGAAATTTAGGAAGAGTAGTCCAAAGGAAGTAGGTTAAAATTTAACAGAGAGAAGACATAATTGGGTCCAAACAACAGATGACAAACGTACAACATGGAATGCTTTATGGCTAGGCAGTAGCATGGGCAAAAAGAGCTGGAGGGTGTTAGTGCTTCTTACGCTACACTTCTGTCATTAGGTTTGCAAAACTCATTCATGTTTTGTTAGCTTTAGTTTGTTTTGTTCTTTTTTAGTTAGAGATAGAACCAGATTTCAAGGGTCTTGAAAGCTTATATAGCTTTGTTCTTTAAAAAAAGTACATAAATCTTCTTTGTGTTAATTTTGTTAATTTTATGAAAACATATTCCTACATGGACACATTGATAGGGATCCTCCCAGCCTTGGAAGAGATTAGCACAAGCAAGAGGCCAAAAATTTAAGCTTCAGTGGCTTCATGGAAAATACAATTCTGTATGTAGTATTCTATTGTAAAAATAGTTCAACAATATATTCTCATGTGGATGAACTTTTGGTGTATTCCTAAATGCTAGTACTATGAAAAAAAGAGCTCCCAAAATGTAAATATGTTCTAGGTGGCACTATCCAATAGAACTGCAAGATGGTCATGTTCCATATGGATACTATTCAGTATAGTAGTCACCAGCCACATCTGGTTACTGAGTACTTGAGCTGTGATAGTGCACCTGAGGAACCAAGTTTTAAATTTAAAAAATGTTTAATTTATTTAGATGTAAACAACCACATGTGACTA